CGGGTGGAGGTTAGCCTGTCAATCAGGTCGTAGCTTGATGACTTTCATTTGGAGATAACAGGATCTCTGGAGGTGGGCCTCTCTCTCTCTCTCTCTTTCTGCCTGAGACCTTCGTCAGCCCTGTGATGCTTCCACCGCCATTGGATCCACAAGACTTTGCACCCACCGGCCTGTGATGCTCCCGCATTCCACATCATTGCTTGCGACTGCGTGAGTCAGAAGAGGGACCTATGGGCTAGTACTGGACTTATGGACTTGAGCTGGACTGGGCTGGGATGTTTTCCTGATCTACAATCGCTTCTTGATACAGAGCTCCTTCTTAGACATCTAGGAGCGTCTCTGGATTTGTTTCTCTAGTCAATCCAGCCTCGCACACTCGCCAAGAGAGCCAGGACTGCCTTCCACCCTCAGTGCCCCAAACAGCCACTTGCCCAGGTCACCAAGCGTCGCGAGGCAGTGACGGAAAAAGCCACACACGTGACGGGACAGCCAAGACCCCGGGGGTGCGCTGGCATCACCTTCCTCACCGTCCTCATCAGCAACACGACTACAGGTACCGTTCCTCCTGTTGTTCTTATCGTTACTCTTCCTGGGAGTCAGATCACTGGTTCCCATCGACCTGCTGCCAGACACAGGCTCCGCCTCCATGGCCAAATCACACCCTTCCACTCGGTTTGGCTCCACCCTCTACGCCTCAGGGGGTGCACATGCTGATGCTCCAAGAACCCCCTTCTCCGGCTTCCCGCTGTCTCTCAGCATAAAGCTTGGGCAGGAAAGAGCAATGTCATCAAGGGCCTAGGCTCCTCCTCCGCTCTGACCTCAGGGCTGCAACATGGCTGCTACACCACCAGCCATCGAGACCAGGTTCCAGGGGAGAGGAAAGAGGAAGCAGGGACGCCGGAAGGGGCAGCAGCGCCAAGGTTGGTTTGACCCTCTCGGGCCTACTCTTTGGGGTCCCGCGGCACCCTCTAACTCTGCTAATACCCGCCTCCACCCCCTGAGGAAATGGTGTACCATCCCTAGAGGCCCTGTCCCCAACACCCTGCTCATGCTCAGAATAAAACTCCAGTTCCCACCACATCTATGTGTTCCGTCCACCACCAGTCCCTACTCAGATTACAGTCCACCCCCTGGCTCCTCCTTCCAGAAGCTCTCTCTCTCTCTCTCTTGCCTCGTGAGACTCTCCCGCTCAGATCAGAAGGACCGCCACCCCCCAAAAGCTCCCTGGCACATTTCGGGATGGCACCCTAACTGGCTGTATCCTGCTGGCTGCCAGGCTCCTCCCCAGGCCCAAGAGTAGCTGTCCTCTCCCAAATGCGCTATGCCATTGTGGGGTGTCGCCAAGCCAATTCTGACTCACAGCCACACCTCAGGACAGAGCAGAGCAGCCCCCCCTCGCCCCCCAGTTTCCTGAGGCTGCGGTCTTTACAGGAGCCAACAGATGAGGCGGCTTTCTCTCCTGCAGCCGCTGGCTGTGCCCAGCCACTGGCCTTTCAGTGAGTGGCCAAGCGCCTCGCCGTGGTGCCACTGCCAAACCTCACTGCTGCCAGGCTGCTGCCCGCCCTACAGGACAGGGCAGAACTACCCCCGTGGGTTTCCGAGGCTGTCAATCTCCACGGGAGCAGACAGCCTCATCTTTGTCTCCACAACGGTGTCTGCCGGTTTCAAACTGCTGACCCTGTGGTTCGCAGGCCCAGCGCGTCACCCACGGAACTGCTGCGGTTCACGGTTGCCACCAAACTCACTGCCATCGATCGAGCCTATTCTGACTCATGGCAACCCTGTCAGGGCAGGGTCCAGCCCCTGTGGGTTTCTGAGACAGTCATTCTTGATGGGAGTAGACAGCCAAGTCTTTCTCCCTCGGTGCGGCTGGTGGGTGCAAACTGAGAACCTGTGGTTGGCAGCCCGACACGTGACCACGACACCGCCAGGGCTCCCTAAATCTGCCCCAAGGTTTCACAGGCCTAGATTTTTGTTCTTGGCTGGCCTTCTGCCTGGACATCCTCCCTGTCATCCCCATCCTCCTGGCTGCTTTCTATTCCCAAGTAAAGACTCGGCTC